AAACAACTATTGGGGAGTTTATTTTGGTTTTCTGCAAGGGAGATCTAAGGATCACACTTATTTTGCTATAATTTTAATCACGATCACGATCACGACCACCCTGTTGTTCGTCGATTGCCTCGAGCAGGTGCCAGTAACGTCTTCTTCGTCCTAGCCCTGAGATTTTTTTTTTTTAAAGTGCCATATTCAAGGCTTTTTTCAGGGTTAGGAGAATGAGACCCATCATTGTTACTGGTATTTGGCATATTGGGTATACCACGGGGAGTTTGCCAGACTCTGCTGTGTGGGCATGTTACATTTGGTAGCCTGCCAGTTTGACCAAATTAGGAATGAGATGATAAGATGTCGCGCGGCCGCGAATGCGGCCGCGCGCTTTCAGGAGCTGAGTGTGATGATCTCTGGATCCTGGCCGTTGTTGGAGTTACACGGCAGTTGGTGGGTGTAACTGTCTAGTTACTGGCAGGTCCAGTCCCAAACTGTGCAGGCTTGGAGATCTTGGAGATCTTGGAGATCTCAGCCCCGGGTCCCCTATTATAATTTTAATAGCAAATGATTTTAATTTCTTCTCCAATATAGAGGTAGAATGTTGCAATTATCTTCAAATTGAGGTGGAAAGTAGATTAATTAATTGTGTCTCTTCTGTTGTCATATTCTGAACCTTTTTCTTTAGATTGACTTTCCAGGTCTGGACAAATTTGAGACATAGAGAGATTTGCATATAGGATGCTTCTGAAATTTGTAGAAATTATATTCATGACATCTCTACTCCTTCAAGATTGTCATACTTTGTTGATGATGCTTTCCAGAGTGGGGAGTGATGATTAGGTTTTGCTACTGTCATTGTCTTGTCTTCTTTTTTTTCAACGTGAAGACTCAAATGTATTACAAAATTCTATCATTGCTGTCATTTTCCCAGAATTTTTCTTTGTTTTTAAGCTGAGACTCAACCCTGAGTCTATGTTATTCCTAAACTATGTCCTTTTTTATTTCTTAAATTATAAGAGGTTTATTGACAATATTTGTCTTGATGGCTCTATCTTCTCTATAAACATTTGTGCTGTATTTTATTTCACTTGTTGTTATAATTTTCTACCTACTGCTTAACTTGGTTTTCTATTTTTTGGGGAAGGATTTGAGCAGAACCAGTGGTGCTTGCTATTTCTTGCATTGTGCTGGAAGGGTGGGGATGGATATCAGTGATTTGAGGGGACCATGTGATGCTAGGGGATTGAACTAGGGTTGACTACATGTAGGGTAAGTGCCTTAACTTCTGTGTTGTTTTTCTAGTCTGGGTTTCTATAATTTTATATAGAAATTTCTTACTTGCATATATGTCCATTATTCAGTTTTTTATTTCATATGAATCATTTTACATATTAAAATATTTTTTTAAAAACTTTATTTTTATTTTTTTTTTTTGCTTTTCGGGTCACACCCAGCGATGCTCAGGGGTTACTCCTGGCTCATGCACTCAGGAATTGCTCCTGGCGGTGCTCAGGGGACCATATGGGGTGCTGGGAATCGGCCATGTTGGCTGCGTGCAAGGCAAATGCCCTACCCGCTGTGCTATTGCTCCAGCCCCATATTAAAATATTTTAAGTCATAAATGTTTCAGTATTTAGCTTTACATCACAAATTTTGATATATTTAAAATTTATTAAACACATTTTCTAATTTTCACTGTGATTCTTCATACATGAGTTACCTAGAAATACGCTTAAAAATTCCAAAATATAAGATTTTACTGGGTTTCTTTTTGTTATTGATTTAAAATTAAGTTCTTTTTGGTTGTAGAAAATAATTTATTTGATATTGATTTTTAAGGATTTTGAGGCTTTGTCATTTACTATGTGGTCACGTTTTTGTAAATGGGCAGCAGGTACTTGAAAAGAATAAGAAATACACATTTATATGATAGATGCAGGGTCTGTGTATTGCATGAGACCAAGCAGATTACAGAGCTTTTGTTATTTATCTGCTTGACCTATGAATTTCTAAAAAGGACTCTATCTTTTTCAAGTAATACTGAATACTTACATGGTACTTAATGTTTTCCAGGCACCATTCTTTTTTTTTCTTTTTTCAAAAAATTTTTATTAGTGAAACACCATGAGGTATACTTGTAGACTTACAAATTTTTGTGCTTGGATTTCAATTATACAATGATCAAATACCCATCACTCCACCAGTACCATTTTCTACCACAACGGGTCCCAGTATCCCTCTCACCCCCCATCCCCACATCCCACCCTGCCTCTGTGGCAGGGCATTCCCTTTTGTTCTCTCTCTCCCCTTGGGTGTTGCAGGCACCATTCTTAAGGGCTTTCACTGTTACTGTATCATGTCATCCTGTTGTTCATCAATTTCCTTGAGCAGGCACTAGTAATGTCTCCTTCTTCCTAGCCCTGAGATTTTAGAAAGTGCCACATTCAAGGCTCTTTCATATTCAGGGGAATGAGACCCATCATTGTTACTGGGTTTTGGCATATGAATACGCTATGGGGAGTTTGCCAGACTCTACCCTGTGGGCAGGATACTCTCTGTAGCCTGCTGGGTTCTCCAAGAGTAAGAACTAGTTCTTATTCTTAAGGGCTTTACACATAGCAATTTATTGTGTATTTTTCATTTTTCCTTATGGATCTGTTACTTGTGCATTACATATTATGAGACTAGGTGCATTTTTACTTGATGCCTAATTTGGGGTGTGGAATCGTTTATCACTGTGTGTTGACCACTTCTATCTCTAATAATTGCTTTTGGCTTTTAAATTTCTCCTTTGTGGGATCTTGAGATAATTAAACAGACCTTTTCACTCATCAATATTTTCTTGTCTTCTTTTTCTTCTTCCTTGATCTATCATTTTATTTGGAATGTATCTCATAAACAACTTCTTGGTATGCTTTGTTTTTGTTCAGTTTTATCCAAGAGTGGTAGTATGGGGTAGTGATTAACAACAAGAAATTTAGATCCAGATCGCTTGAGCTTGCTTTGTGGTATGGGTTGTTTTGTCTTTGGAGGTTAGCTGAGTTTTGACTCTGTAAGAGGCTTAACCTCTTCCTGTGTCCTATGTCCCATATCTCAACCATGCTCTCAGTGACAATATACCTGGTGTTTCCACTTTATGATTCTTTGTTGGATTTTATTCTTACCCCTTTAGTATCCTCTACCATATTCACTATATCAGCAGTTTTCCGAGCCTTTTTGTGCTTCTGGGCCAGTGAAAATAGGATAAATATTCTGCAGATCTCTCAAGCAGTAATAAAAACCATTACTTATAATGGTAATGTTAGTTATATAGCAATATTTATGATTGTAATGCAACATGATCCAGATGATAATAACTTTTGCTGACTGGGGGGAAATTTCTGAGAATTGGCACTGGTATACAGACAGGAGGTTGAAAATTCTCTACTAGAAGCTGTTTCCTTAGGCAGTTTTCTGTACTTCATCACCTATTTTTCATTTAACATGTATCAAAGTATCTCTAAAGTGGGCTTTGTAAAACTTTGTAAGACTTGAGTGTGTGAGTAAATAAGTGAAAAGAATTTTGAGCAGTTTTGGCATATCAAAAATACTTAAAACACTTATTCTTATTTTCTCCCTTACATTCATGTATTGCTTTACTTTCTCTCCTCTTTCTCTCTCTCTGTGTTTTGCTGGTAATAAAACCCAAGTCTTATGTGCATTCTACTTTGGTCCACTATTATATGTACATTTTAGGGTTCTTGGCTACATCGGCAGTACTGCCTTATCTGTAATTTGTCCCTATCAATTTTTATTACCAAATATACTCTTTTTATTTTATAATACAAACTTTTCTTCATTCTACCTCCCTCAGGTGATTTGGTGGGATATAACTGAAGAATGTCTCAATCTCCCATGTCTATAGTAGTAGTGATTGAATTGAATAAAATTTAAACACAATTTTCTTGAAAGGGAACATAATTTCCTTTTATAATCATAGTGATAGCATAGCGGGTAAGGCTTTTGCCTTGCACATGACCTACCCAGGTTAGATTTCTCTGCCCCTCTCGGAGAGCCTTGCAAGCTACTGAGAGTATCTTGCCCACATGGCAAAGCCTGACAAGATCCCTGTGATGTATTCAATATGCCAAAAACAGTAACAACAAGTCTCACAATTGTTGTGAGATGTTACTGGTGCCCGCTTGAGCAAATTGATGAACAACGGGAGGACAGTGCTATTTGCCCATATATTAAACTAATAAGGTAAAACAAAATAGATGGAAAATTTCCATCTATTTTTGCAAAAGCTAAGATTGTAAACATTATTTGAAAAAAATTGTAGCTGAAGAGAAAATTGTGTGTACTGAAGAGTATAAATAACACTTAAAAAGTTTGTTTTAAGACACATTAAAAAATCATTTGATGTCTATGATATACTTTTAATTAATTGATGGACTAGACTTTGAATTTCAAATGGAAAGATTGAAACCTATATTCAGTAGATTTTTTTCTAAATGGGGGTTTTTATTTTAATTAAATGTATGTTGAAAAAGCATTAGTGGTGGTGGTAGTTTGTATTAGTGTGGATGTACTTAGTGCTAGTGAAAAGAACACTTTAAAACATTTTAAGGGCTGGGGTGATAGTACAGTTGGTAAGGTGTTTGCTTGTACAAGTCTTACCTGGGTTCAATCCCTGGACCTCGTATGAGCCTGCAAAGAGTGATCCTGAGTGTAGAGTCGGGGATAAATCCTGGGCACCATTGGGTGTAATTCAAAAAGCAAAGACAAAAATAGTTTTGATAGATAATTTTATGTATATTTTACTACCAGAGTTTAAAAATGAAAATTATAATGTATTTGTCTTCTCACACTGAAGTAAATGAAAGATGTTCATTATTTTGAAAGTTAATATTAAGGGACCATATAGAGAGGGTTGCTGAATTGAATTGTTGTCAATATGTTCATAGATGCTTTCCTTCCTCAACTGTATATAATTTGTACTCTTTTTCTAATCTAAAATTATTGTTTTGTAACAGGAAGGAAAAGTTAATGCGATGTTCTCAATGCCGAACTGCCAAATACTGCAGTGCCAAGTGTCAGGTGAGAAGACTGTGCTATGCCTATGTGAATGAAACCTTCAGCTTCTCTCTTCTGTTTGTCCTTCATTATATCCATTGAGCTCTTTCTTTTTAAAACTATATTTGATTGAATTTAACTTGTTGCTTTTCTTTAATTACAAAGTCATGGAATTTTTTTCTTGTTCTTGTGACCTCAATTTCCTTCATAGAGATATGAATAATTAAGTTATGTATTAGCAGCATTTTATTTTTCCTCTCCCAACCTGTCACATTGTTGTTTGTGTTGGGACCACAGCCATCACTGCTTAGGGAAACATATAGGGTGTCAGGGATTCAACTCAGGTCTGTCACATGCAAGAAATGTGCCCTGCTTATTATGCTATCACTCTGACCCTCACCTGTCACATTTTAAAATGGGATTCATCACAACCTCTCAAAGACGTATAAAATATGTTTTATCAATCTAAATTGCTTATTCCTTATTTGCCTTTGAAATTGTGAGATATGTACATGTAAGTACTGAACTTATAATTTATTTAAAATACATTGCTTTAATCATAATGCCACAGAATTCATATGTGCTCTCATATTAGAAATGCATATATAGATACTTTTAAATTAGATTAAAAGTTGCATGATTATAATTTAAGTATATTTTATTAATATTCTAAAAAGTATAATTTTAACAAGTTTTGTACTGCAAACTATTGTGCCCCAAGGAAAAGAAAAGAGAGAGGGAGAGTGAGGAGAGGGGTAGAGGAGGGAGAAAGAGGGGTAGAGAGAGGGAGGGAGGGAGGTAGAGAGGGAGGGGAGGGGAAAATGAGGGGTAGAGAGAGAAGGAGAGAGAGAGTAGGAGGAAGAGGGAGAGAGAAAGAGGGAGAGAGGGAAAGAGAGATGGAGAGAGACAGAGAGAGAAGAAAAGTGCCTGCCATGTAGGAAGACTAGGGGTCAGGAGTGGTAGGAGGGAAACTATAAACATTGGTGGTGGCAAATGTACACTGGTGAAGGGATGAGTGTTGGAACATTGTATAATTGTTACCCAATCATGAACAACTTTCTATTTATCTCACAGTTTTTTAAAAAAGTTTTTAACAGATTTATTTTATCTTTTTTTTTTCCTTTTGGGTCACACCCAGTGATGCATAGGGGTTCCTCCTGGCTCTGCACTCAGGAATCACTCCTGGCGGTGCTCAGGGACCCTATGGGAAGCCGGGAATCGAACTCGGGTTGGCTGCATGCAAGACCAGCACCCTCCCCGCTGGACTATCATCCAGCCCACAGGTTTATTTTAATAAAATATAAAAAGCAGCTATATTAATAATTCACTACTCAAGTGCTAATCAGTTTTTTTCTTAAAGGAAGTTGGAAAACCTCCAGTAAAAGTTTGAACCCTGCTGCATCATATTATTTCATCAGAAAACATGACAAGAAGTAGATGAATATGAGACTTTAGATGTTTATTTTATTTTACTTTATATTTACTTATTTTTGATATTAAGGCCATATCTTTTGGTGCTGAGTATTACTCCTGACTCTGTACTCTGTAACCCTGGTGGCACTCAAGGAACTGACCATATGCAATACTAGGGATTGAACAGGGTCATCAGATGCAAGGCAAATGCATTAACTCCTATACTATTTTTTTCAGCAACCCCTCTTTGTTTTAAGGGATGTTATAACTTTTTTTTTAAGTAATGAAGAGTCTAGATAATGCAGTTCAAATTTTTATTAATCTAGAGTAAAATTTTATTTTTACTATCTATTTACTAAATAAATTGTTTAAAAAATAGATATTAGAAAATTAGCAATTGTGACTTCTTTTTGTTAGTTTTTTTTATGTTGTTGTTTTGTGGTTTTAGTTTTGGGGCCACACCCAGAAGTGCTCAGAGCTTACTCCTGGCTCTGCACATAGGAATTACTCCTGGAGGTGCTCATGGGACCATAAGAGATGGCAGGGATTAAACCTGGGTAGTCTGCATGCAAGGCAAATGCTCTGCCCGCTGTGCTATTACTCTGACCTCTAGTTTTGTTTCTTCTTTTTTTAAATTTTATTTTACTTTTATAATGTTGTTCACAATAGTTCATTACACATAATATTCAAACACCAATCCCACCACCGTGCACTTTCTTACCATCATAAGAGGAAAGTGTGTGGAGAATGTTGTATTTTATCCTGGAGCCATTTAAACCCTTGTATAAGAGATTAAAAGCATATATGTTAAACCCAAACAAATGTGTGCTACTTTTGGTACATAAATGGGCTAGAATGCAGCCTGTGCTCCAGGACATTCTGTGTTGCTCTCTTCCAGGAGCTTTATTTCAGATTCTACAGATTTTGGCCGTTGATGAGATTATATGGTGCTGGGGGCAGTTTGTGGGTATGACTGCCAAGCTACTGGAAAACTGAGAAGCTGGGGGGAAGAGGCCCAGTCCGGTTCCTGGAGATCTCAGTCACGGGTCTCGCATACCTGGGTTTCTCTGGAGGTCCCCTCATAGATGAGGCTCGTCTGATCCTGTGGAGAGTGGCCATGAGCATGGCTGTGCAGTTGGGTTCAGGGATCGAACCTGGCAAGTCTGAATGTAAGGCAAATGCTCTGTCCACTGTGCTATTGCTCGGGCCCCGATTTTTGCTTCTTAAGACTGTCCTTTCCCTCCATGAATTGCTTTTGTGCTTTTGCTAACAATGTCACCAAGCTCAGATTTGCTTGCTGGGCTTTCTCCTCACTTCATCCCCCTCTCCTTAATTGCTCAGGGGTTATTTCTGGCTCTTCACTCAGGAATCTCTTGGCAGTGCTTGGGGAACCATGTGGGATGCCAGGGATTGAACCCAGGTCATCCGTGTGCGAGGCAAGTGCCCTCCCCGCTCTGGCCCCAGAAATTGTGACTTTTTATTTCCCAGTTTTCCCTTAAGAATCCACCTATATGACCTGTTGTCAAATTTATATTTTTAGTTGGAGAAATGACATTAAAATTATAGTTTGGGTAAATGTTTGCAATGATGTTGACATTTATGGTCTGATGTAGGCAGTTAAACTCACCTCCCCAACACAGGAGCATCTAAGACCACCCACCCATGCCCCAGTGTCATATACTTCCCTTCAATCTGGTGTTCTTCTTGTTGTTCAGGATCTTATTTGTCTTCACTTGTATTATCTCTACTGTTTCCCTATCTATAAATAGATGAGTGAGATTGTCATTCTCCCTCTGATTTTATTTAGGTCATCAAATAACATCTCCCATTTCCATCCAACTTGTAGCAAATGGAATGATTTCATCTTTTCTTATAACTTTATAGTATTCTATTGTGTACACTTCTTTCTCCATTCATCTCTCATTGAGCATTTGGGTTGTTTCCATATCCTGGCTATTAAGTGTGTAGCATTTTGTTTTTTAAACACAGTCATATGCCTGTCTCCTTATTTGAATAATAGATACATGTTTTTGATAAAAATCATTTTATATTGTGGCTTTTATTTTTATTTATTTTTTAATTTTTAAAAAAAATTTTTTTATTAGTGAAACACCATGTGGTACAGTTGTTGACCTTACAAGTTTTTGTATTTGGGTTTCAGTCATACAATGATCGAGTATCCATCCCTCCACTAGTGCCCATTCTCCACCACCAGTGATCCCAGTAACCCTCCCAACCCTCCCATACCCCCATTCCCATCCAGCCTCTGTGGCAGGGCATTCCCTTTTGTTCTCTCTCTCCTTTTGGTTGCTAAGGTTTGCAAAAGAGGCATTGAGTGGCAAACATGTTCGGTCCATAGTCTACTTTCAGTATGCCTCTCCCATCCTGGGAGAATCCTCCCAACACCCTTTACTTGGTGTTCCATTCTCTCTCTGAGCTGCCCTTTCCTGTAGCATGTGTGGCTGGCCTTCAAGCCATGGAGTAAACCTCCTGTAATTTATCTCGACTATTCTAGGATGTTAGTCTCCTATTTTGTTACTTTATATTCCCCAGATGAATGCAATCTTTCTATGTCTGTCCCTCTCTTTCTGACTCATTTCGCTTAGCATGTTACTTTCCATATAGTACCATTTGTATGTATGTAAATTTCATGACTTTGTCTTTTCTAACAGCTACATAGTACTCCATTGTATAGATGTACCAAAGTTTCTCTAACCAGTCATCTGTTCTCAGGTACTCGGTGGTTTTTTTTTCCAGATTTTGGCTATCTTTCATTTTTATTTAATAATACATCTAAAAGAATCTTTTATATCATCTCATTTGTTCCATATCTGAATGCTCTATAAAAATAATTTCCTAAGCTGAAGAGATAGTACTGCAGGTAGGGTGCTAGCCTTGCACTTGGCTGATTCTAGTTCCACCCTGATACCCATATGGTCCCCAAGCTCTGCCAGGAGTAAGCCCTGAGCTTCGCCAGATGTGGTACCCCCACCCCCGATATTCCCCATTAATGAAATTAATACTTAAAACTTTCCCCAATATTTGATATTGCCAGCATGTGCAAGACTTACTTTTGAGTGCGTTTTAGGATGCTTTGCAAATTAGTATAGGATAAAGTCTTCCTCCTTTCATCAATTAGCAAAGGGATATACACATTTTAAGCTTTGTGGGAGGAAGGGGTTGGGGTTCCCAAGCACTGTTCAGTGATCCAGGGAACCATTCTGGGAATACTCAACCTGAATCAATTTTGCCGGCTTAGATGGTTCTATGCTTGGACCTGTCGATGTGGTACTGTTTGAGCTACACCTGGGCAGTGCTTGTGGTGTTAGGGATTGAATTTACCAGGCAGTCTTGCTAGCCTTTGATCTATCTCCCTAGCTCTTACACTTTGGATTGTTAAAGATATTATCAGCTTGCCTCCAAGAGTTTGAATTAATGAACAACTGACAGTCAAGGAGAGTATTGTTCTTTACATCTCTGAATGTCTTTAATGAATGTTTAATTAATATTCAACATGACCTTTTCTTCTAATGATAGAGTAGTAATTTAATAAGACATTTAATTATTCTCTAATGAATTGCATCATAATGAAAAGACTAATTGGAAGCTTT